TCTGTCTCCCTGTCCCTGTCTCTCTGTCTCCCTGTCCCTGTCTCTCTGTCCCTGTCCCTGTCTCTCTGTCCCTGTCTCCCTGTCCCTGTCTCCCTGTCCCTGTCTCTGTCTCCCTGTCCCTGTCTCTCTGTCTCCCTGTCCCTGTCTCTGTCTCCCTGTCCCTGTCTCCCTGTCCCTGTCTCCCTGTCCCTGTCTCCCTGTCCCTGTCTCTGTCTCCCTGTTCCTGTCTCCCTGTCTCTGTCTCCCTGTCCCTGTCTCTCTGTCTCCCTGTCTCCCTGTCCCCGTCTCTGTCTCCCTGTCCCTGTCTCCCTGTCTCCACGTCTCTCTGTCCCTGTCCCTGTCCCTGTCTCCCTGTCCCCTGTCTTGCCTAACCTCCAGGCCACCGGCCCTCTCTGACTCAGGAGGAACAGCGACTCTGGATTCTCACTGCTCCCTGGTTGTCTCTCCCTTGTTGGTGAGTCCCGCTTCTCTTGGGTGAGAGTCTCCTGAGAGCCACACCCAGGTGGCAGGCAGAGGTCTCGGGTCCTAGTTAGTGCAAGTGGACCTTCTGCTGCCTCAGGTCTGCTGCAGGAAAGCCGCGGGGGGAACCCAGCGCCAACCCCGAGCCCCTACAGCTCCGCCCTGTCCACGGGAGCAGCCCATCCATGCGTGACCTGCTGCGCCAGGCTCTCCTCCGGATGTGGGTGCTGAGGGGGGCTCCAGGGCAGCAGGCGTGGCTCCCAGTGCCACCGAGCCCAGGGCCGTCTGGGCGTCCTAGCTATGCGGGAAGTGGACCTTCCCTCGAAGGAGCTCTGGGCCTGATCCCCGTCTGCGTCAGACAGTGTGAGTTGGTGCAGGAGCGGGATGTAGCTGGGACCAGGGCCACAGCCACGTGGGTGACATATCACGTTGTCACGCATCAGCCTCTGCTTCCTCAAGGACCAACCGAAAAGGCTACAGGGTTTCCTGCCACGTGTCCTGGAGGCTGGCAGCTGGAAGGGTCAGGGCCATGGGCAACATGGGCCAGTCAGTGGCCCTTGGCCCTGGGGCCTCAGGCACTTCCCGGAGGCCGTGCCTGCCTGTGCATGCCCCCACTTGCTCACGCACACCCCTGGCACCCCACTTGAGCGGGCAGGCCCAGGCGCCACATGCCGCTGTGGCCACTGTGGAATCTGCTCTGCAGAGGTGACTCAGCGTCCAGGTGCACAGGGCCACGGTGCCGAGGGAGAGGGCCGCCCTGGCAGGTTCCCCCAGGTCCGGGCTGTCCCCAGGAATGCTTCTCCAGCCTGCCTCAGGGCCTGGCACCGGCCCCCACCTGGGCGCCAACAGCCCCCAAATTCAGCCCAAGGCGCCTTGTCACAGGCTGTGGTGGGAGGACAGCTCAGCAGGCCGGCTTCTGGGGCCTGCAGGCCCTCCCGCCCTCACTGTCTGTCAGCAGCCTCACTGTCCCTGGCTTCCTGAGCTTGGAGGAGAGCTGGACACAGTCAGAAAGAGAAGCTGTGACTTCTAGGGGGCTGGACTGGCAGAACACTGTCTGTCCATCCTGAGGCCAGTGGGCACTGCGAGGACCTCACGCCCCAGCGGGAGACTGTGGCTCAGGGATGCCCCGGTGCAGGCACAGACCGAGCACCGAGACCAGGAGGGGCAGGACGGTCCTGTGGCCTCCGCTGGCTCGTGCAACGAGCAGGGATGGGAAGCAGGGATGCCCTCGCCGCTCGCTTCTGGACGCTGGCCATGGTGTGGGGTGACGGGAACGGGATGTGGCAGGTGCTCTTCACTCTTGAAAGGGAAACTGCACCGTCTCAGAGGGGCCACCTCCCCCAGCACCCGGTTCTCAGTGCCTCACGGCCAAGTGGACCTCTTCCAGGCCTTGACCTGGCCGCATCCTCCAGGCCCCAGCATGGCCGCCCCCACCCTGGGAGTCCTGCCCAGAAGGTCTGGCCGCAGACAGGCCAGGCTGTGCTGCCGTGGGGCAGATGTGCACGAACCCCTGCTCCTCAGGTGAGCTTCAGCAGCACGGAGGACGAGGGACTCTCACGGGAACACTGGAGGGCTTGACCCTTCCCTGCTGTTTACGTGAAAACAGAGAACAGAAGCACGACACTCCTCTGTGTTGAACTTCCAGTCAACACACAAGACGCACCTGCCGGAGCCACCGAGGGACAACTCAGCACAGGCCAGGCGTGAAGATCCCGGCCAGACAACCAGCATTTCCCTCTCCCAAACACGCCCTGTTTGGGAAACCATTCATGATGGCATCGAGGACGAGGATCCACTGCCCCTCAGGGCCTCCAGAGTGAGGCTGGCCGTGTGTCCACACTGGTGAGTGGGCTGCTGGGTGGTGGTCTTGAACACACGGGGACGTCCGTAACTCGCAGTTCCCAGAACTGACGGAGACGCGGTTCCTGGGTTACCTGTCCCTGCTTGCTCCTGGGCAGTGCTGTTCTCAGCCCCATCGTCCAGTTGGAATGGAGCCCAGGAAGTGACCAGACAAAAAGAGACCCTGAAGTGTCCCTCACAGGCGTGTGCCGCGTGCTCAGCCCCTCAGCCCGAGGCCATGGAGCTGGAGGGTCCCAGGCCACATTCACCCAGGAGCACAGCTGAGACGCAGCACCAGGGTCCCGGGCATCACCAGGGCTCTTGGCCAGGCAGAAGGGGAGGCAGGCACACGTGCACACTTCCAGACTGTTTACAGGACCCCCAGGTCCCATCCACATGCACCAAGTGGAGTCACACGAACCCTGAGGCCTTGAGGGAACTGCCTCTGGGGGAGAGGCATAGTCACGGCCCAGAACCTGGGTGCCTCTTGAGCCCCAGTTCTAGCCCTGCTCTGGGGTGCAGCTGGCCCCGCCCAGTAGGCCAGGCCCCGTCCTCCAGGGCCCAGTGCCCATGAAGGGCCCTGGGGTTTGACTTTGGTGTTTCAACCTCCCAGTGTGGTCTGCCCTGCTGTCCTGGAGCTCACCTGCACCTCCGAAATGTGGCGTCCGGCTTCTGCATTTCCATACAGGTACACACTTTCCTAAGTGTGAGTTGCCCCCAGACCACACTGATGAGATGACAGTATGGCCACTAGCCTTACCACTGCGGGTGAATGTCACAACTATACAGAAAGCGTTAGTGTGCAGAGTGCAGGTATTTAAAATGAATACTGATTTTCAGAGACTCTCGTGAGATGTTTCATGTCCTACAACCTGGGAATATTAGCACACACACATACTGTCACTCACAGACTCTCAGACACACACCCACAGGCTCACTCAACACCCACACCCATACTTGCTCGACACACTCACACACACACTCACACACACACTCACAGCCCTAGAACTGCTCAGAGCTCCTGATTCCCGGAACCTTGCCCAGTGGCCCTCACACGACACTGCTCTGCACACGGGTGTCAGGACCGTTTGGTTGACAGGAGGAAGGAAGGTGGGAGGTGCCGTGCTCTGGCCAGGTGGCTTTCTGCCCTTCCAGTGCCTCAGGCTGGCTGTGCCTTCCTGGTCCCGCATCCCTCCACCTGTGGGACCCACAGAGGCTCAGAAGAGGAGCCAGTTGCTGCTGGAACTTCCTGCAGAGCCCAGGAAGGTGGCACTTGGCGGTGCCCCGAGTGGGCTGAGGCCAGGCAGACCTGCATTGGCCCCTGGCCCCTGTCTCCACTTCCTCAGCTGCTAGTTGAGAACAGCAAAGCAACCTGCAGGAGCAGGAGGACCACAGCGTCAGTGACACAGAGTGGCCGGGTCAGCACGGTCCCCGGGCTCCACCACTACGGGTCCCATGACAGGGGTGACAGGAAGCCCCGAGGCTGCACAGTGCCATAGATGGACCAGGTCCTCACAGATTGGCTCAGCAGGACAGCCCTTCCTGCTCACCAGGACATTGTCCTACCAGACGTACCCCCCGGGCTGCGACAGCTCTCCACCAGCTCTATGACATGGACAGGCCAGACGGAGCCAGGCTCGAATGGACAGTATGGGCTATTGTCCTGCGACAGGCAAAGGCCCTTTGGGTTGAAGCTCCCGTGTCCACCGAGCCATACTTGGGAGTGGACGGGGGACAGTGAACCTCGTCGGAGGCCTCGGAACCTGAAAGTATCACGGACAGGAACAGGGTCAGCTGTGGTGGTGGTGCCTTGGCCAAGCTGGAGATAGGCTGAGCGAGGAAGGACAGAATCCTGAGAAGATGGGCCCCTGGCCTCCTGACTGCACCCCTGGGCTCCCCCTGTGGTCATCTCTGGCTGTCCCCCTGCCAGCTAACGACACCACCCCCTCCCCTTTCCAGGAGAAGATCCCTTCTCCCAGCACCTCCTCACAGGCCTGGGTGGGGAGCGGCCCAAAGGCTTGACTGGAGGAGGAATGGGGTCCAGGCCCTGCCCAGGCGGTAGGGCCCTCATCCTGCAAGGCTGTGGAGGGGCGTGGCCCATGGGTCCCTCTGGCCCACTGGCGGCACTCTGCGCTCACGGACGAGGACTGGTGCCTTCCTGGCCTAGAGGCCTGTGGGTGGCTGCTGCACAGTGTGAGCCCCTCTCTGTCTTCCTGGGTCTTCCACCCAGACCTGCCCCACGTGTGCTGAGGGCATGGCCCCGTGACCCGGGGACTGGCACTGGCCCTTCCTCCCTCCTGCAGCTTCACACTTGAGCTTTGTGCAGTGCAGGCTATGTCTTCGTGGAGCCCCCTGGGCATGGACATGGGGGTCCTGCCCCGTGCAGGTCACAGTTTGGTGACAAGCTAAATATAGAGCAAATGACCACACACCCAAACTCACAATTGCATGTTGCCGTGAGTGTGAGGGTGAGCGTAGGCGTAATGACAGGGGCTCGATCTAGTCTTAGGACGGGAGGAGGCCCTTCACCACAGGTATTTACCAGGCTGGGTGGCAGGAAGCGCCTGGGGGCCCTGGGGGCTGAGCACCTCAGGAGAGGGAGGGCTGTGGTTGCGCCTGGAGGGGAGATGGCCTGGAGGACCCCGGCTCAGGCAGGAGGGAGGTTCGGGATGCCGGGGGCCACGCAGGCTGCAACCCCTGCCTCTCAGCTAGCTAGGCTGGCCGCCATGGTGATGGTGAGGGAGGGGGCTTGGCACCAGGAGCCAGTCAGCACAGGAGGGGAGAGGTCCCTCTGGAGGTCAAAACCTGTTGCCACAGTCCCTGTCCTGCAGGCCAACCTCCGGGACTGTCTCTGAGCCCGCCGGCCTCTGTTCACGTGACCAGCCTCACCACCCCTGTGGCCCAGCCACCAGCACCTCTGACGGAACCTTCCAGCCCCACCCTGTCTGGCGTCAGCTCTACCACGGTGCTTTGCTGCTGGCCAGAGGGAGGCCCTGAAGGGACCCTGCACCTCTTCCTACCCTGTGCCTCCTTCAGGGGCTCCCCTCAGGCCTACGGGGGGCAGGTGAGGCCCCACCCACCTCCGCTTCACAGGAGCCACCCTGCAGCCTGGCTCTCCCCAGCGCCCCCCAGCTCTCCCCCACCTGCTCTGCTGTGGAAGCCCCCTCTTGCCCCTGGACTCCCGCACTGGTCCTGGCTCCCCTCTTTTCCCACTGAGGCTAGCTGCGGTTGCCCCGGAGGCCACACGGAGGCCGGTCCGTGCCCACCTGCCCTGGACGGTGAGGCCCCAGGAAACCTCCCACCCACCGCCAGCTGCTGCACAACCCTGGACGACTGGAGAGCTTCAGGTCAAGGGAGCACTTGGGTAGGAAAGGCTGTTCCTTCTTCAGAGGTCTCTGCTGCCTTGGGGACACGTGGAGGAGGGAAGGTGTCCCTGTGGGCCACCACAGCTGGATGGCAAAACCGTGGGTACAGCTCAGAGCGAGCTAAGAAGAAATAGGAGGAAATGGGGCAGGCCCCAAGGGAATTCCCTAAAAGCCCAAAATTGGTACGTGGGAACTGACTCCCTGCCAAGGAAGGACGAGGCTTTTCTTTTGGCAGAGTCACCTCTCAGACTGCACACGCAGCCACGAGCTCAATGGCGTCCGCTGGGCTGCGCCGTTGGCTAAAAGCCATGACGGCTGCCAAGCACAGCTTCTAGAGAAGGTGCTCACTTCTTAGGACTCAGCCCCACGTGCTTCCAGGACACCTCCCAGGTGGGTGCTGACGGGGGTCTGCTCTGAGCACCCACTTTCCTGCCACAGCTGGACCCCCGCAGGACAATGAGAACACTGAGCCACGGGGGGATTCATCCAGGGCCGGCCTGCCCCTCAGCCAGTCTCCGGCCAGGTGAGCCACAACTGCACAGCCTTATTTGAAATCAGGGTTTCGTTGTCAGCTGTGGTACAAGTCATAAAAAGAGGAATTGCACAGGGACCCACTCCTCCAGAGGTCCTGAGGGGGGAGAGGCCACTCCTGCAGTCCACTCCTCAGCATGCACCCCCAGCAGGAAGAGAGGGGGGGGGAGGGAGGGAGAGGAAGGAAGAAACCACTAACTGATTCAGACGCCAACTGTCTCTGATCTGTGAGACCCCAGGGGAAAACAAAGCTTGCCCTGCGTCTGCCCAGCATCTGGAAGCCGCGCCCCACCTTGGTGGGCGGGGTGTCGCCAACACGCCTTCTCTGAAGAGGGGTGTGTGGCATTTGGAGAGACGGTCTTGCAGGGGCTCTCAGTCCTGATACCCTCCCACTTTAGGAACAAGCATAGGGCAGGAAGCTGCCCGGGAAGCTCAGCCACCAGCCTCTGTACCTGCTCCCCGCCGGTGGCACTTGGGCCCACAGCTGAGCACTTGGCAAAGGCAACGCTGACACCAGGCTGAAGGGCGCACCACCTCCCCAGAAGGGCGAGGGACGTACTGCTCCCCAGGTGTTGAGGCCGACTTGTTCTTGCCAAAGGGTCCGGGAGAGAGTCTCCAGGTCATGTGATGGGACGTCTGTCCTCACTGGCTAAGTCTGTGGTGGGGAGTCCACTCTTCTTCATGGGGCTGATAAAGGAGACTCCAATCTTCCTCACTGCAGGTGAGGCAGCAGAGTCCACTCGTCCAGAGGTCCTGAGGGAGGAGAGTCCACTCCTCCAGAGGTCCTGAGGCAGCAGAGTCCACTCCTCCAGAGGTCCTGAGGGAAGAGAGGCCAGTCCTCCAGAGGTCCTGAGGCAGCAGAGTCCACTCCTCCAGAGGTCCTGAGGGAGGAGAGTCCACTCCTCCAGAGGTCCTGAGGCAGCAGAGTCCACTCCTCCAGAGGTCCTGAGGGAAGAGAGGCCAGTCCTCCAGAGGTCCTGAGGCAGCAGAGTCCACTCCTCCAGAGGTCCTGAGGGAAGAGAGGCCAGTCCTACAGAGGTCCTGAGGCAGCACAGTCCACTCCTCCAGAGGTCCTGAGGGAGGAGAGTCCACTCCTCCAGAGGTCCTGAGGTAGCAGAGTCCACTCCTCCAGAGGTCCTGAGGGAAGAGAGGCCAGTCCTCCAGAGGTCCTGAGGGAGGAGAGTCCACTCCTCCAGAGGTCCTGAGGGAAGAGAGGCCAGTCCTCCAGAGGTCCTGAGGCAGCAGAGTCCACTCCTCCAGAGGTCCTGAGGGAGGAGAGTCCACTCCTCCAGAGGTCCTGAGGCAGCAGAGTCCACTCCTCCAGAGGTCCTGAGGCAGCAGAGTCCACTCCTCCAGAGGTCCTGAGGGAAGAGAGGCCAGTCCTCTGCAGGTCCTGAGGGAGGAGCGTCCACTCCTCCAGAGGTCCTGAGGGAGGAGAGTCCACTCCTCCAGAGGTCCTGAGGGAGGAGAGTCCACTCCTCCAGAGGTCCTGAGGGAGGAGAGTCCACTCCTCCAGAGGTCCTGAGGCAGCAGAGTCCACTCCTCCAGAGGTCTTGAGGGAAGAGAGGCCAGTCCTCTGCAGGTCTTGAGGGAGGAGCGTACACTCCTCCAGAGGTCCTGAGGGAGGAGAGTCCACTCCTCCAGAGGTCCTGAGGGAAGAGAGTCCACTCCTCCAGAGGTCCTGAGGGAAGAGAGTCCACTCCTCCAGAGGTCCTGAGGAAGCAGAGTCCACTCCTCCAGAGGTCCTGAGGGAGGAGAGTCCACTCCTCCAGAGGTACTGACGGAAGAGTCCACTCCTCCAGAGGTCCTGAGGCAGCAGAGTCCACTCCTCCAGAGGTCCTGAGGGAGGAGAGTCCACTCCTGCAGAGGTCCTGAGGCAGCAGAGTCCACTCCTCCAGAGGTCCTGAGGGAAGAGTCCACTCCTCCAGAGGTCCTGGGGCAGCAGAGTCCACTCCTACAGAGGTCCTGAGGGAGGAGAGTCCACTCCTCCAGAGGTCCTGAGGCAGCAGAGTCCACTCCTCCAGAGGTCCTGAGGGAAGAGTCCACTCCTCCAGAGGTCCTGGGGCAGCAGAGTCCACTCCTCCAGAGGTCCTGAGGCAGCAGAGTCCACTCCTCCAGAGGTCCTGAGGGAGGAGAGTCCACTCCTCCAGAGGTCCTGAGGCAGCAGAGTCCACTCCTCCAGAGGTCCTGAGGGAAGAGTCCACTCCTCCAGAGGTCCTGGGGCAGCAGAGTCCACTCCTCCAGAGGTCCTGAGGGAGGAGAGTCCACTCCTCCAGAGGTCCTGGGGCAGCAGAGTCCACTCCTCCAGAGGTCCTGAGGGAAGAGAGGCCAGTCCTCCAGAGGTCCTGAGGCAGCAGAGTCCACTCCTCCAGAGGTCCTGAGGGAGGAGAGTCCACTCCTCCAGAGGTCCTGAGGGAAGAGAGGCCAGTCCTCCAGAGGTCCTGAGGCAGCAGAGTCCACTCCTCCAGAGGTCCTGAGGGAAGAGAGGCCAGTCCTCCAGAGGTCCTGAGGGAGGAGAGTCCACTCCTCCAGAGGTCCTGAGGGAAGAGAGGCCAGTCCTCCAGAGGTCTTGAGGCAGCAGAGTCCACTCCTCCAGAGGTCCTGAGGGAAGAGAGGCCAGTCCTCCAGAGGTCCTCAGGGAGGAGAGTCCACGCCTCCAGAGGTCCTGAGGGAAGAGAGGCCAGTCTTCCAGAGGTCCTGAGGCAGCACAGTCCACTGCTCCAGAGGTCCTGAGGGAGGAGAGTCCACTCCTCCAGAGGTCCTGAGGGAAGAGTCCACTCCTCCAGAGGTCCTGGGGCAGCAGAGTCCACTCCTCCAGAGGTCCTGAGGGAGGAGAGTCCACTCCTCCAGAGGTCCTGAGGGAAGAGAGTCCACTCCTCCGCAGGTCCTGAGGCAGCAGAGTCCACTCCTCCGCAGGTCCTGAGGCAGCAGAGTCCACTCCTGCGCAGGTCCTGAGGCAGCAGAGTCCACTCCTCCAGAGGTCCAGAGGGAGGAGAGTCCACTCCTCCAGAGGTCCTGAGGGAGGAGAGTCCACACCTCCAGAGGTCCTGAGGGAGGAGAGTCCACTCCTCCAGAGGTCCTGAGGGAGGAGAGTCCACTCCTCCAGAGGTCCTGAGGCAGCAGAGTCCACTCCTCCGCAGGTCCTGAGGGAGGAGAGTCCACTCCTCCAGAGGTCCTGAGGGAGGAGAGTCCACTCCTCCAGAGGTCCTGAGGCAGCAGAGTCCACTCCTCCAGAGGTCCTGAGGGAAGAGAGTCCACTCCTCCAGAGGTCCTGAGGGAAGAGTCCACTCCTCCAGAGGTCCTGAGGGAAGAGACCACTCCTCCAGAGGTCCTGAGGGAAGAGAGTCCACTCCTCCAGAGGTCCTGAGGGAAGAGAGTCCACTCCTGCAGAGGTCCTGAGGCAGCAGAGTCCACTCCTCCAGAGGTCCTGAGGGAAGAGTCCACTCCTCCAGAGGTCCTGAGGCAGCAGAGTCCACTCCTCCAGAGGTCCTGAGGGAAGAGACCACTCCTCCAGAGGTCCTGAGGGAAGAGTCCACTCCTCCAGAGGTCCTGAGGGAAGAGAGTCCACTCCTCCGCAGGTCCTGAGGCAGCAGAGTCCACTCCTCCGCAGGTCCTGAGGCAGCAGAGTCCACTCCTCCAGAGGTCCTGAGGCAGCAGAGTCCACTCCTCCAGAGGTCCTGAGGGAAGAGACCACTCCTCCAGAGGTCCTGAGGGAAGAGACCACTCCTCCAGAGGTCCTGAGGGAGGAGAGTCCACTCCTCCAGAGGTCCTGAGGGAAGAGAGTCCACTCCTCCGCAGGTCCTGAGGCAGCAGAGTCCACTCCTCCGCAGGTCCTGAGGCAGCAGAGTCCACTCCTCCAGAGGTCCTGAGGCAGCAGAGTCCACTCCTCCGCAGGTCCTGGGGCAGCAGAGACCACTCCTCCAGAGGTCCTGAGGGAGGAGAGTCCACTCCTCCGCAGGTCCTGGGGCAGCAGAGTCCACTCCTCCAGAGGTCCTGGGGCAGCAGAGTCCACTCCTCCGCAGGTCCTGAGGGAGGAGAGTCCACTCCTCCGCAGGTCCTGGGGCAGCAGAGTCCACTCCTCCAGAGGTCCTGGGGCAGCAGAGTCCACTCCTCCGCAGGTCCTGGGGCACCAGAGTCCACTCCTCCGCAGGTCCTGAGGGAGGAGAGTCCACTCCTCCGCAGGACCTGGGGCAGCAGAGTCCACTCCTCCGCAGGTCCTGGGGCAGCAGAGTCCACTCCTCCGCAGGTCCTGGGGCAGCAGAGTCCACTCCTCCGCAGGTCCTGGGGCAGCAGAGTCCACTCCTCCAGAGGTCCTGGGGCAGCAGAGTCCACTCCTCCGCAGGTCCTGGGGCAGCAGAGTCCACTCCTCCGCAGGTCCTGAGGGAGGAGAGTCCACTCCTCCGCAGGTCCTGGGGCAGCAGAGTCCACTCCTCCGCAGGTCCTGGGGCAGCAGAGTCCACTCCTCCGCAGGTCCTTAGGGAGGAGAGTCCACTCCTCCGCAGGTCCTGGGGCAGCAGAGTCCACTCCTCCGCAGGTCCTGGGGCAGCAGAGTCCACACCTCCGCAGGTCCTGGGGCAGCAGAGTCCACTCCTCCGCAGGTCCTGGGGCAGCAGAGTCCACTCCTCCGCAGGTCCTTAGGGAGGAGAGTCCACTCCTCCGCAGGTCCTGGGGCAGCAGAGTCCACTCCTCCGCAGGTCCTGGGGCAGCAGAGTCCACTCCTCCAGAGGTCCTGAGGGAGGAGCGTCCACTCCTCCAGAGGTCCTGAGGGAGGAGAGTCCACTCCTCCAGAGGTCCTGAGGGAGGAGAGTCCACTCCTCCAGAGGTCCTGAGGGAGGAGAGTCCACTCCTCCAGAGGTCCTGAGGGAAGAGAGGCCAGTCCTCTGCAGGTCCTGAGGGAGGAGCGTCCACTCCTCCAGAGGTCCTGAGGGAGGAGAGTCCACTCTTCCAGAGGTCCTGAGGGAAGAGAGTCCACTCCTCCAGAGGTCCTGAGGGAAGAGAGTCCACTCCTCCAGAGGTCCTGAGGGAGGAGCGTCCACTCCTCCAGAGGTCCTGAGGCAGCAGAGTCCACTCCTCCAGAGGTCCTGAGGGAGGAGAGTCCACTCCTCCAGAGGTCCTGAGGGAGGAGCGTCCACTCCTCCAGAGGTCCTGAGGCAGCAGAGTCCACTCCTCCAGAGGTCCTGAGGGAAGAGAGTCCACTCCTCCAGAGGCCCTGAGGGAAGAGAGTCCACTCCTCCAGAGGTCCTGAGGGAGGAGCGTCCACTCCTCCAGAGGTCCTGAGGCAGCAGAGTCCACTCCTCCAGAGGTCCTGAGGGAGGAGAGTCCACTCCTCCAGAGGTCCTGAGGGAAGAGAGTCCACTCCTCCAGAGGTCCTGAGGCAGCAGAGTCCACTCCTCCAGAGGTCCTGAGGGAGGAGAGTCCACTCCTCCAGAGGTCCTGAGGGAAGAGAGTCCACTCCTCCAGAGGTCCTGAGGGAAGAGTCCACTCCTCCAGAGGTCCTGGGGCAGCAGAGTCCACTCCTCCAGAGGTCATGAGGGAGGAGAGTCCACTCCTCCAGAGGTCCTGACGGAAGAGTCCACTCCTCCAGAGGTCCTGGGGCAGCAGAGTCCACTCCTCCAGAGGTCCTGAGGGAGGAGAGTCCACTCCTCCAGAGGTCCTGAGGGAGGAGAGTCCACACCTCCAGAGGTCCTGAGGAAGCAGAGTCCACTCCTCCAGAGGTCCTGAGGGAGGAGAGTCCACTCCTCCAGAGGTCCTGAGGGAAGAGAGTCCACTCCTCCAGAGGTCCTGAGGGAA